GTGTTTCAGTGCCTCTCCACCCCTTAGTTAAATAAACAGCCAATTAAAACTCTTCTGTAGCACTTGGCATCTGAGGAGGTAATGCAATCATTTGATTCAGGGGTGCTGGAACAGGGACTGCTCTATAGTTTCAAACTGTGCCTTAGTCTAAATTTCATCTTCAGAAATTTTCTGACAGGAAAATGTACTTGTTTAATTAGAAATACATTGACTCCAAAAGAGATATTCTAGTCCACAATATTTATGAACTTCTTGAGGTCGTACCATGAGGTTAACTCAGCCTTGCTGGATTACTGCCAGTCTATACAGCTTAACCAATCTACATAAGTGGGTAAGGATTAGGATCACACAAAGGTGGTTATCAACTTGCTAACTCAATCCTGGTTTGTCTAATCATGAATCTGTGAATGCACACTTATATAAAGGGGTGGGTTCAAGGTATCAAACTAATTACAACCATGAGCGCAGAAGTGAAAGTGCCATATTTCTCTTTTGAGGAACAAAAACTAATTTTACAGAAATACAAAGAAAAAAAAAAACAGCCCCAGAAAAAGTCAAACAAGGTGGCAGAATCATAAAGACATGAAATATGATTTTAATAATGTGACGATTATGAAATTTCACAGGAATCCAGGTATTGACTCACCTGCAATGGGATAAAATCCTTCTTTTATAGTCTAGTGTTTAGGCAAGTGGCCAGGGGAGATGATGAATTTACTCATCAGCTGCATCAAGGCACTGGATACTTGATGGACAGCTCGACAGACTGTATTTTTTTAGAGCAGCTCAGCATCCCTGACGGTGTACATGAAGCTGCTGGTTGCGTAATATCACATGGCTATACAGTCTGTGATACAGTGAGGGCCGCAATTCTGGGGGTCACACGGCCAACATACAGTTACAGGATAAGATATATATATATGTCAGTCTGACCAGTGAAACCCTGTATCACTCATATTGTCGTAGTGATCCAAAGGATCTTCTCACAATTTGCGCTCTGATTTTTGTTTTTTAATGTTGCCTCATATATCAATTATACAAGAAAGAAGTGAATACCAGTGGTTTATAAGGACATACAGGAGAAAACAAATAAAGACTGGTAAAATGTTGGTACGTAGGTCAAAAAGGAGGACAAGGACAATAAATCAATACATTACTTGTCAAAAGCATATTTTTTCTAACTTCTTTTTGCTTTTCTAGTTCTTGTGTGATTTTTTCTTTAATGAAATGACAGGCCATTGTCTCCAGAACATCTGATTGGCAGCTGGGTGGAGCGTTTTCTAGGATTCAGAGCAATCCTAAACCCAGCCTGCCCCAGAGCAGGTTTGATGTTCAGAGCATGTTATTATGGTGACTAGCCTAAATAAGAATTAATCCAACATTATGGTAGTGGAAAGTCAGGGTTCCTCTAACTTTGAGTTTACTTTTAAACATTTTTTTATTATACATGTTTCTTTGGCATATATCTGCTCCGTGTGTTTCTTGTTTTGGTTATTAAAAGTAGTCATCATTACAGTATGTGTCTCCCATCCTTGTCTCTTCATTTGAGTATTCAACACTATTACACCATAAATTAGATACCATTAGAAACCAGCCGAGAGATTTTAACCCTTCAAGACCTTCTAACAGGGCCTGGAAGGTTGTGCCTCATGTTTTAGCTATAAAAGAAAGGTTGGGAATGGCCTTCCCTCAGATTGTCATTGTGTTATGCTTTTCATTAGGCCTCTAAGGTAAGCCTCCTGGATGGCCCCCATGGTTTCCACGGATTCTCCCACTAGGTTCATCATATACTGGAGAAAAATCTCAGCTTAAGTGTAAATCCATCTGGCTTAGATCATGGGTATGTTTTTTGCATGAATTTACAGTCTCTCGAAAAAGGTTGAAAACCACTGCAGTACCCAGAGCACCAAGGGGTCATGACCCCCACGTGGAAGACCTCTGGCCTAAAACATTCAGCCACTCCATTAAGCTGCACCGCATATGAGTTGTGACAACACTGCTATTGTCCTGATAAGTCCTTCTGACAAGAGTGGATTTTCTAATGGCTGCACTTTAACGTTACATTCATGGTGTCTACATCTTTTCGTTGCATTTATGTACTTCTTGTACATGGAGAAGACACCTTGAATTTACACCTTGAATTTAACTTTAAGGTTAAATTCAAGGTGTCTACATCGTTATGTTGCATTTATTTACGTCTTGTCTCCATTGGCTAATTATCAAAACAACTCCAATCATTGGCACATCCTTAAAAACCATTAATTTCATCCATTGCATATATACCATCCCCTACTGTAAATGAATCAACACACAAAACAGAAATCAAACAACATCACAAGGTAGCTTTATAGTGGCAAATTCTGAATTTTTATGTTTTTCTCTTGATGGAAGAAAGCCAAAAACGTACTACACCATGACCTTAAAACCAAAGTACTTGCCGAGCTATGGTTTATTTGTCCTGTTGCACCCCCTAGTAAATACATGTGTTTATATTGTCGTGAATAAATTACATCCAGATGAAGCCTAAGACAGAAATGTTTGAGGGCAAGATGAAAGTTCACAAGGCCAGAGAAGCTATAATAGGCATTGTAAATCTTATGCCAAGCCAGTGAGTGGCACAGTGAAGCTGCCACATATGTAAAGGTGGAATAAGAAAGAAGAGCAGAGAGAAACTGTGAGAGAATAGGCATTTGTACGCACCAATGACTTTGGTATAAAATCTCAATTCTGTACATTGGCTTACATGCGAAAACCTGCCTGTTTCTACCTACTTCTGGGGTTTGGGCTGTCCACACAAGCAGCCACAGGGGTTGCCTTTAAACTATTTCATTCTGGGAGCAAAACTATGTTTTTGTTGCTTCACATGGACAGGACCCATCATCCAACAAGAGGTTTTTTAGATACACTGGGTCCTTGCCTTTTATGGACAGCCTCTTAGATTGTCTTTTTCATCATGGACTTTAGGGCCATTTGTATATTTCCATTGAGGGGGGATTGTGTTATAATCTGTTCTTATTACCACCCCATGAATCTCTATGTTCTTGACCTCTGTTAATGGGTAGTCCATATAACTCATCTGATGTTCTAATTTTTTTATTGGGCTTTTTAACAACACCATAGCATAATATGTTTGTGGATTTTGAAGGGAGTTTCTGTAAAATGATGTAATATTTCACTGTCTTACATGTAGTAGATATTCATGTCTTACTTTTGTATAAATCTAAATGAGCGAGTTCCTAAAATGGTTAAGATAATTGGCAGTTATATAGAGGCAAAGGCCAAAATTAACTTCTGCAATCTTAAAACATTGTTTATCTGCAAAGACTAATTTATAAACCTTAACAGCATGGTCATGTTTGCACCAGGTTGTTATCTGCACAGACAATTTACACACTAAATATAGTCTGGAGATCATGTGCCACCAATGATCCTCTGCTTGAATCATACAATCACACACACAAGACCACTTATGCATAAAACCACCACTGCTGACAATCAAATAGACCATCAGCCCCTTTTCATAGACTGCACCGTCACAAGCCGCACTTTATTTAAATGCAACATGATACATTTCCCTTGTCCTGTTTTTCTTCCAAGGTTGTTTATATATTTTGTAAATATTTCTTATGTGTCTTTGAAGAGTTAAAAAGAGTATTTAGTATTTAATACTTTGTGTTATTTTTCATTTGAAATTGTATATTATTTATGCATTCTAAGCATGTGTTTGTGCAAAGTTGTATTATGGTTACTTAATGGAAACAAAGACCTTTGTTTCTTAAAGTATTTACTCAATTTGAGAAAAAAATCTATTAATACCTAAAGGAAATAAAATGCTGTAATTTATACTATAGGCTTTTTGTCAATGAGTTGTTATGGATAATGATAGCAGACACAGTAGGAATGATTATTTAGTACCTTCTGCAAATCTTGAGAAGCCTCTCACAAAAGACAATCTGTTGTTGTTTGACAGTGTGACGAAGATGATATGGTTCGTCTATAATGTTTTTCATTCTATGTAGAAGTCTTCTTTGTTTAATAATCTCCATATGTAAGAGAGGGATTCCAGGAAAAGGGCTGACCTTCAGACCCTTCAGATACCTCAGAACACAGCAAACACAACAGATGATAGAAGAACTCACTCTCTCCACAACAGACTTTAAAGGATACGCTGCAAACACTGCAGGATATAATCTTCCCCAAAAAGTACTGAGTACACCCCTTTTATAAGACAGAATCTCCGATTCTAAATACTTCAATTGTTCCATTCTCAGTCTGTTTTTTTGCACAGGAAGATCATTATGTCTGTTCTTCTTCTTATCTTCATTCCTTGTACAAGAGATAATTGGATTTAATGCTCCTAACTACTCGATGCTAAAATGATCACCCTTTAAGGGTTTATTTTAGATGATAAAGTCTACTTCAGTCTGGGGTCTACTTGGACCAGCAGATAGCTACATTCTCAGGAAATGCTAATTCGGATTTATACATAATGAGATATCTACCTTAAGCAAGATATCAACTACTTAAAATGTTTTGAATAATCTCCATTTTAAACTCTTACTTTATGTTACATAATGGTATTATTTTAGTGTTTGGCAGTTTAATAAAAAAATTTATCCTTAGAACTAATATTTTCCTTTTTTTCCTACCAAAAAGCATCTACAACGTGAGAGAGAGTTTTGTTTATGTATATGTAAATTATGCAAACATTAACTGGTTGAATTTAATTCTGCAATTTAACTTTGCTATTATTGTTTTGTGAACTGCAAAACAGGGCATTGATGTTGACAGTCTCCTCTATCATCCTAATATCTTTTTTAACCTCACCCTCTCCCCCTTTCTAGTTTGGACTTAATTATATTTTGTCTATCTTTACACTTGTATGTGTGAGTGTGTAAGTCTTGCTGTGTGCAGGATGGTGTGTGTATTTGGCGCCGTTTATATTTGTGTCTCCCTTTAGATGTGTATAATAACACATTTGCCCTCTGCTTAATCTCCAGCTCACTCCTGCAAGCAGCCAAGAAGCCCAGCCAACGCAGACGTTATGGGTCTAGACCTGCCCTCCTATGGTTATACCCTGGTGTACACCTGTCAGCCAGGTTATTTCCTCTCCGGGGGTTCAGAGCACCGAGTCTGCCGCTCTGACGGCAGCTGGACGGGCAAGGTGCCTGTGTGCAGAGGTACGCTGTTGGCAGAGGTCTGCAGGGGCAGATGATGGAAAGGGTGGTGAAGTAAAACTAAAAATGTTCAAGGGAGGGTTTTGAATAAATGTAGAAGGTAAGAGACTGAGAGTCAGGGAATGTGTTATTATACTAGATGTGTTATCAGCCAGTTTTTATAAGCCTGTCTAGATCTGTTCTTTTCAGATATGTTTAAGTTAAAACTGTAAGAAAACAGAGGAAAGCTTAAGACAAACACCATGTTACATTTAGCAATGTTATCACAGCTTTAAACCTTGCAGTGCATCTTCACATCATGCATATTTATGTTCCATTGCAGTTGGATCTAAATCCCAAGAGAAAATTGTCAAAACTGTACCAGGGACACCCAGCCCTAAGATGAAAGGTAAGCATTTAAGAACCGGAACTGCTTTTGTTCCGGTTAAACCAGGGTAAACAGCATACTGTTTGTGCTCAACTATGTTTAAGATGTGAAGTTCTGTTTACCCTCCTCCCCTGGTTTAGTGCTCTGTTTTTGGCTTTGTCAAAATCAGAAAAAAGCTTTTCTTCACTCTTATCCTCAACTTTGCGGTTTGTTCATGTATTATACGGGTTTAGACAAATGAAATAGTGTGAAGATTAGTGAACTTTTTTGCACTTTCTAACTTTACACCCTTATACTGATTTTTCTTTGAGTTTTAAAGTCATCAAGGAGGGAAAAAAAATATTTCAATTGGATAATTATGTCAATTAGTACAAGGCTTGTTATCAGGAGGGAATATGCAAAGGTCATGAAAGAAGCAAGATATTTTTAATTAGGAAATATCCTTGCAAAAGGGTAATTAGCTTACCTCCAAATAGTACTATACTCAATGTTACTTGTAATAACAATATCTGTAATGAAAAGAAAGAAAGAAAGAGTTTGCCTCTGGGACCTACAAGCAATAAAAGACATCATACGTGAAGCTTAAATCACTCCGACTAATAACATTTTAATGTGGTCATTTGTATTTGTTTTCCTGAAATCATATATGTAATTTGAGAACCGTTTATTTAATATAAGTGTTCCTTCACCGTCAATGGACTACCTTAGATCGACAAAATTTTATTATCTGGTATATTTGATGTACTGTCTCTCACTGTGTTGAATTGTAGTATTAAATCAGATTGCATTCTCTAGGATCTGATTGGGACTGTTTTAGAAATGGTTGTCCTGTAAAACACCTTAAGATAACACAATAATATATCTGGTATTATATAAATAGAAACAGAAATAACCAATGTATACGTCATTATATTATTCTTTATTGTCAATATCGAAATAGATATGATGATAATAATTAGCCATCCTGTTAGTATAGTGGTGATTAAGGATGTTTGTGGAGCATAAAAATTAAACTGATGGTTGGAATCCTTACTTCTAGTTTTGGAACTCCTTTTTTAACCATTGTCTCTAATTTTGTATTTGCATTTCAATATTTAATTAAATCCAATCATTAAGTTGCTTTTAACAGCACAGTCTAATCACAGAATGTATCTTTTAGTTATCATTTTTCATTATATAACTGAGGCTTTACTATCAGGACTTCATTATCAATATCAAATTGATTCACTCTAAGCAGCAGTGTCTTAATGCTCTTATACAACATTTAGTGTAAAGGTGCTTTTTACCTCTCAAGCTATACCCCCTTGTTAATTACAAAGAAATCATTCTAATTGTGACTGTTTATTTTCTGACCATAACTACAAGTGGTCACCTTTGTGTTTCTAATTAGTTCCTCATTTTTAACAATAATATGTGATTATTTGCACATAAAGGTTGAGGTATACTGTATCCCGCTGGCTACAAGTCAGAAAACATCAATATTGTTTTGCCCATTTAACAGTGTCTTTTCCAGGAGTTATATCTGTCAGAGTTGATTAATAACTAACTATAAAAAAATGCAAAAATATAAAATGAAATGCAAATATTATCAATCATGTGCTATTAATCTATCTTTGCATAGCTAATATCTGTTTGGTTGTGTCGAAACAAATATTAGGGATTCCTAAACACTGATTTGATGTCATATGCATCTGACTCTGTTTTTAAAAAAAATATTTTTATGTTTTTTATTATTAATATCCATTTTTTTTCCCTCAGTTCCAGATGATGTGTTTGCCCCTGATTTTGTCTGGAAGGGTTCCTATGATTACAAGGGGCAGAAACAGCCAATGAGTCTGACAGTCACCAGCTTCAACGCTACAACTGGGAAAGTCAATGTTACTTTAACAGACAGTAGCACAGAGTTTCTGCTCTCTGGTGAGTCATCTATAAATTATCTGTCTCCTACTTCCTACCCTGCACCTCCCCTCTCCTCCCCCAGCACCTCTGTATGTCACTTTCATTTATTTTGAGGGTGCCTGGTGTCAATCAGTCAATCACCAAATGATCTCATGCATGAGAGTGGAAATTAACTATTGGCTTTAAAGGCAGATGAATTAGGCGGAACTGACTGTCTGCCCACTCAAGAGTTTCATGCCTCCTCTTTTCCTAGTTGTTTTCCTCTTTTCTAAGGCTCAAATTCTCCGTCGTGTTATTTTGTTTTTCACCTAAGGGTTTATTTACTTTTTTAATTGCTATATTGCTTCATGTTTTCCCTTTTTTTCTCTCTACCCTGTAGGTGTCTACAAGCGGCAGGAGGCACGGTTAACACTCTTGCTGTATCAGATGAGAACATTGACCTACAGCTCTTTGGGCAAGATTACGGATGAGTCATGGGCAATGGATGGATTTGTGAGTGCACCAATTAAGGATTTTTAAATGATACCTGAGAGCTGCATACTTACTTAGTTTTAATTTGTTGAAATTGTTATTTTCAAGTTCATGTTTCAGGCAGAGAATTATCTATAAGCAAAAACAAGCCTTTTCTGAACCTAATTACAGCCAGGTCATTATTAAAACTTTTTTCATATTTTTTAAAGTTCAGCAAGAAAGTAAGAATGCAGTTAAGGAATCTCTGGCTTTCCAGTGTGTTTGAATTTACTTTGTATTAGTCTACGGCCAATTTACTTCTGTAAATTGGCCGTAGACTAAAAGCATCACTTGCTGTTCATAAAATTATTTTCTGTTTTTAAATATCTCAGTTGCTAAATAGGTTGTACCATCAACCTAATATCGGACAGGCCTGCAACCTCCATATGAACATTTTAGTCAGAACAATCAAACTTTTTTGTCATAATAAACTCTAAGGTCCAGATAATAAAACCTTTTCACACACCCCTACACATGGCACACAGCTATTTGTGGCCAATTTTGGGATATCTATTGTTAAAATGAATTCAAAACCAAACAAACATAGGTGTTGTTTTATCATTTTAGTGTGACAGGGTGTGGACTGTCTAATACAGTATGTCTGCAGAGTTCAATAAGATGGACAACACACCTCGCTCCTTTTTCAGTTGCTTCGCTAAAACACAGTATTCCTATGCAGATCGAGCTAAAGCGCTGCCTCTCAATGTTGCATTGTTTTCCTGGTAGGTTTCGGCTGAGCCTGAGGGTGGCAGCTACGTGTTTCAGGGCTCCATACAGGGTAAAGACTTTGGACAGTTTGGACTTCAGCGACTTGGTAAGCAAAGGCATTTCCTGATGCCTAAACTCCTATTGCATCTGTCACGCACACTCATCTTCCATTATTACTATTCAAGGAAGGGGAAGGAATTGTATTTTAATCCAAAAGTCTGATTTGTTTAATATTCCATGATGGGAATGTTGAGGCTTCACTCTGCAGACAGCATAAACAGTTGAGTATGTGAGTTAATCTCATGGTGTTATACTATGAACAATTTCTACTGCTATACTCTTGATGCGGAGCAGTAGGAGTATCCTAAGACATTAGTGCAACTCTTTGGTTGGTTATATAACACTGCTAACCCACATTGAATCTACTTCGTAACCAAGCCCTTTACTAGAAAATGAGTGATCGCAGTCTGTATTACTTCCCTTAAAACCTCAAAGTTTTGACTATGATATATACTCTCTGGATTGTGAAAACAAGGATTAAACCAAATCTGTGTAGTGTGGCAAAGAACTGAGATTGCCTCTTTGTCATTCCGTTACTGACCTGTTTTAATATTTATGCTGGGAATACTTGGTCCAGCTAGTCCAATCCATTGCAACCAAGCCTCTGAGGATTACACCAGTGATTGGGACGGTACAGGATTAAACATTAACAGGAGCAGACGGGAGCGGGAGCAAACCAATAGTAACTAAAAAAAACTAGGATTGATGCCAAAAAATAAAATAAAATAGAAAGAAAAAAAAATCAGTACTGGGGCCGCCATTTTGTAGTGTTTTTCCTTGAAGCCTACACTGTAATGCAAGTCAAAAAAAACTACACGACCCAAAAACCAACAGTGCTTCCGCTCTGAGTTTTTTACCCGTGCTCAAAAACAACAAGAATGGGAGTGGTGCAGGAGTGGGAGTCATTCTGAATGGGAGCAGGATGGGAGTGGGAGTAATTTCACCACGAGTGGGACGGGACAGGATTTAGATTTCTACTCTGGCCCGCGATCGGGACGGGACACAATTTTTTTCTGTGGTAGTGGGACGGGACAGAAGTGAAAATCCACTCCCGTGTCAGTCTCTAGTTCTCACGACTATTTATACATCACGCTAGCACGGTTCCTTGCCTCCTATCCGCAGTCCATGATACTACAGCTTTCAAGGTGGGAGTTAAACAAACAAAAATGGCAGTGACCATAACATTCAGGAACTTATGGACCTGCATAGCGTCCTCATCCCAAATTTCAATCAGAGCTTCGGTCTATGCATCATCCCAGGTTGCACCACTTTTGCTGCCATGAATTGTTAATGAGCTGAGAAGAAGTTTGTGTTGTGAACAGGTAAAGTCTGTGAATTACAAAGCCGGACACGCCAGAAAATCAGCAAAATGTGTCAGCTGAGTGTTAAAGGAGTTGACACGGTCTGCTCATGCTGCTCATGCTTTTCTGAGAATCGAGCTACAGATGAACCATGCTGAGCTCTACTGTTAAACTAATACGATATTTAGCGCGATTCGGTTGTGTCTGGCACGGTCCAGTTCAGTTGGTTTCCATTTTCATCCAGCAGTTATCTTGGTTAATGTGCTCGGACAGTTCTTGGCACAGTTTTAAAAGGGTGGTTTAAATGGGGTTAACGGTTTCTGTTTTTAAATAGACTACCTGCTATTAAGTTTTAAGCTCTCATTTTGAAGGAAGAAGCGTAGTAGTTCAGGAGTTAAGTTTGTTTTTTTTGGCAAACAGATTTTGCCAAAAAAAAACATGAAAACCAATAAACCAATAAAACACAGAGAATCAAATGCCCCTTTAATACATTGATTTTATTTATTTATGTGGCAACATTAGTAGATCAAATACTGACAAATAATGACAGACACAATTATTTATAAGAGTATGAGAATAACAACCCGTTAGCATTTATCTTTTAATGTTTCTCATGTTGGCATCTGCTTCATGGTGTACTGTTGAGGCCAAATTAAAGAGGCGTTTCACATTATTTTTTATCTGAACTGCATTTGATCATCTTTTTTCACTTTTAAAATACCTAGTTTTGTCAAGCCTAAATCAAGAGTTTATAAAACGTGCCTGGAATTTTTCAGAAACCTTTATCCTGTTTTGTCAAAACAGAAAAATATATTTTGGTGCTTTTATTGCATTAGTCCTAAAACTGAGAAAGTATACAGAATGTTACAAATTGGGCGGTTGGGTCTGGTTTATTCAACTTTCATTCCAGATTCATTAATCCAAACAAACTGAAAGTCTGAGTTTTCCAAAAAAAGAAAAACAGTAAATAACTCATGAATGTGGAATGGAGCATGATGCATCAATAAACCCCAGGGTATCTGTGATCCTTGGCTCAGAAACTGCTCTAGTAACTCAGCTCCCCTGGGCTGAAGCAGTCTTTTAACAAACTTAGCATATGCTGTCTACTTGTCCTTTCCATGTACCTGAGCTTGACTCCTATTCTCAGAACATGCATTCCCCTTGAACTACTGCTAACCTAGAATTCACCTATGCTCTTAAGAACATTTTAATCTAGAGGCAATCTGAATGAGCAGAGCTGTAAAGTTAGATGTCGAACAAAGGATTCATTAGAGTGGCAAAGGCAAATTATTCTGCTAGCGAGCTGTCAGATGCAAGCCAGATGGTTTTGTTGGCAAGTTGTATGCTCTTGGCCCCAAGTGTTGACACGGCGTTGGGGCATGAGACTTTGTTTTGCACCAGCGTTAGGATTTTTTCTTCACATTTCACTGGAGCATCTGCTCATTGGAAATCTCTTAAATTAAACAAACTGGTGGAAAGTAATGAGTTAACAGACTTTATCCTTTGTGACTGTTCAGAAATATTTTAGTTGATTACTTTCTGATTGCAGTATGCACAGGTACTTCATGTCAGGGACTGTGCAAATGTTCCAAATTGATATATTGAATGCATCACAGACTAAAAATTGACTGAAATGTGCCGTTAACCTTTAATACTCAATTGTTTATTGCATGTCCTGATACTTGAAAACTAAATAAAAAAACTATTAATGAAAAAACATCGGATACATTTCTTTCCAGCAGATTCACCTATAAAGTTGGTCTCTAGAAACTGTGGGGTTTAATAAGGAAGCATAGTGGGAGAATTCAGAGCTTTTTTGTTCCCAGAAAATGTCAACCATGTCTCATTTTGCCACATTCATGCAACAGACAGGAGATTATCCCCTTCAGCATCATTGTGCTTCATTCCTTTGTGCTCATCATCTCTGCTGTCATTACCACATGATTGTTCTCAACTCGATTATCACAGTCACAGTGATGATTATCAGTGTGATCAAAATGGCTGGCTTTCTTTATCAAGTGGCTGCCGAGTCTTGCCTGCGTTATGATCCTCATCTTCATCATCATCGTTGTCATCATCACATCCAGATATGTATCCTTCTTTCATTGCTTCAATTGCATCGTTTGCGCTTGCATTCAAAGAATATTACACATCGATGACTGGACATGAAATGTTTGTCTCTCCGTAGGTTTAACACTGAGAGAGAACATTACGCTGACGGACCCTGAAACCAGCGGCTCTACCAACAGCAGTTCTGTTGCTGTCGCTATCCTTGTGCCTTTCTTTGCTCTCATCTTCGCAGGACTTGGCTTTTATCTTTACAAGCAGAGGTAGGTAATGCCTTGTGAAAAACTTAGAACCCACATTTGCTCCATTTTAAGATTGTCTTTTTGTTTTTTTTTTTTTACTGATTTCTACAGCTCTGGTTTTAAAAGAGGTTAATATGGGTTATAAAAAGCCTGAAAGATATTAGAGAAGTTTGGAATTAAAATGAGTTAATTCCCAGGTATTCTGTTAATAAGGATGACATATTGTATCGTTCTCATTTTTTTCAATATATAGATGTTTCGATACATTCAACACTCATTAATCCGTCCATCAATGGGCCCAAATGTCTAGATATCTGCTCATCTAGCTCGTCATCCAGCTATATGAGTAATCCCTTGGTTCCTGCTTCTGTCCATTGAGCCGCCCCTCTCTGTTTATCAACCTATTTATCAATCTTTCAAACAGTCCATTTGTTTATCCATCATATCCTCCATCTATCCATCCATCCCCACATTTGCTCCTTAATCCACTCTTTATTCCACAATAAAAATCATCCATCCATAATTTCACCCATAATCCAGTAGCCTCCAACCTTTTTTGAGCCACGGACCGATCTAATGTCAGACAGAATTTTCACAGACCAGTCTGTAGCTGTAGTACTCTCTGGTTGCTATGGTAATACTAAACATGCGTTAAAAATAAGCCACCACAAAACAAAGTGCATTAAAACTGCCTACGAACTACTCACATTAGCAGTGTTCAGCGGGGGCCCTGAGCTTGTTTTGCTGCGGTGGGAGTTACAGTAGTAGGAATCACATGACCTACGGTGTCATGGCCGACACGCATCAAGAGTGACTGTCACTACATGATCCGTACCGGAAGCACAATCCGTACCATCAGCTCATTTGCGCATGTGCAACCAGTTATTGCCATAAATAATGTAATCACAGTAATAAAAGTACTTTTTTCTATCCATCAATCACATAAGGAATGATAAGATTCTTTTTACATTTTCTCTGTTAAAAAGCTCATCTGACGTCATCATCGTACATGCTCAGAGTAGTCAGCAAAATATAATTAGACCATGTTTGTTCTTTTTTTGGTGTGATAAGATGTGATAAGTGATAAAAACAGAAAGGATTATAAGGTATTTATTTTCTCAGGAAATATATTATTAACCTTTAACACATAGTTTAGTACGCATACTATTTTTAAGGAGGGAAATGTAATAGGTCTTTTTTTACAAATTAAAATCAAGGGCGACCAGGATTAGACATGGAAAATAAATCCATTGGAAATAATGGAGATATTAATTCTTTTTGTGCAGCTTGGTACCAAATGACACATGGACCAGTTGGGGATCATTAGGTTAATCTGTACATTAACAAAATGAATCATCCATCAAACTGTTGATCTACCATTGGTTTATCTGTCAATTCAACTCTCTGTGAGTTATCCCTTCCTTCCTTCCTTCCTTCCTTCCTTCCTTCCTTCCTTCCTTCCTTCCTTCCTTCCTTCCTTCCTTCCTTCCTTCCTTCCATACTTTTAAAATGGGCGAAATGATTAAAATAACATAAAATTTAAGTTTTGAAATACTTAATGGAAATTTGAAATAATTCCTGTGTTTAGAAATGTGAATTTGTGTAGAACTATACCTTAAGCAAAAAGGTATAAAATAATAGGTGATGCACTGAGGCCAGATTACACAGCTAGAGGTTCTGCAGCTGGGCTTCTCACTGAAACAGTCATGAACTTGTAAGAGACTTCAAAGCATGATGCAATGTTAGTCAAAGTATTACCATGCGAATGGAATAACACAGAAGCATACATCAGTGCATTTTAATGAGAGAGATTAAAATGCTGTATGTATTTTGCTTAAGGTTCATAAGCCATTTTACTGTGAAGCGTGAGTGTGTGCTGTGTGCACATGGACACATTTTGTTTTGGTTTGTTGCAATTACTCCTCTGAACAATTCACACATGCAAAGTCTGTGACATGCAAATCTTGCTTGCAATATGTTCACTACCTCTGAAATGGCACAGGGCTACCTTCACTGCTCTTTTTCCCAGTAATTACCTCACAAGCTCATTTACCTTTAGCAGCTGTCCACACCAAGATGACAGAGACATGTGAAGGAAAATAGTAGCTGGTAATTGGAAGCCTATCCTTATAACATGCAACATCCTTTTTTTTCTTTGTTTCTCAGAAAAACAGATAAAGCTCAGTACACAGGATGTTCCGTCCATGAGAACAACAACGGCCAAGCTACATTTGAGAACCCCATGTACAACACAAACACAAAAGCTGCTGAGGGGAAAGTTGTCCGCTTCGACCCCAATCTCAACACCATCTGCACCATGGTTTGATGTCTGCTAATTATTGGAAATGCAAAGAGATTGGTAAAGGATTAAACTTTTTTTTTGATTGAACTCTATATACAAAGAAAAGCCTTTTCTCAGTTCTGGGTGACACGCAGCAAAAACAAGATTTTGCTCAAATGCATAAAGCACAGTTTCAGCTACAATTAAAATAGCTGATAGCATTGATAAAAAAGAGGAAGAGTAGGTTTCCTACCCTTTCAGATCTTGTCTATTTGCACTCTGTGAGTGTTGACACCTTGAATAAAAGAGCTTCTGGCATAAAGATAAAAATTATATTTTCCACTCGGTTGTATAAATACAGAGCCGTTATTTCACAATACCAAATACGCACTTGTTTTTTTCCAAGAAACGACCCACACCTACCCATATGTTTGTTTGTTTTTCCTTCCCATAGTCCTAACAAATAATATTTTTCAACATTTGGATTAGGAGACTCTTAACTGTGAGTTGATCAATGTAATCTGTTTTCTGTTTCATAAGTGACTGGCGTATAAGAGGAGCTACAGCTGCAGAAAAGCAACTGTCATTGAATTATGTCAGGGCTGTTGTCTGCTCAAAGTTCTGGGTCAATTATACATCTTAATTAGATGATAACTCTTACTGATGAGATGTATGGCCAGGGATTTAACTACAGGAGTGCAGCATGATTTTTTTGAGTGCCACTGGGAGCTAGGGCTTTTATTGTTACAGTGCAGCTGCTTAGAAAATAAAAGAAAACATTTCCCTTACCAGTAACATAGTCTGCATTAGGTTTACTACCAAGCTGGGTGTAATTATTTGTCAGAAACATCTAACCACAGCCATTTTAAATTGCTGACCTCCTAATAGACCGGTGGTGACAAGTTATTCTGTATGTTAGTCAACTTATGCCATATCATTTATTTTTGTTTTGTTTTGTTTTTGCTGAGAAACTTTCTGTGTTCCAAGCAAACCAAATTTGGAGTGGATAACCCTAACCTAGAGTCTGTATATCTCATGAATCTCAAAGTAGGAGTTACTTGCTTCACCATTACAAGTATTTTTGTTGTTGTTTTTTGTTTGTTTGTATTAACTATAAGGTTGTGGATCTTTAGAGTGCAGCTACCCTACAGCTGGCCAGGTTTCCCAGAGGTTTCCTTAATTATGGAAGTCTTTCCATTATCGTAAAGGTGCTTCAGTGGGGTATTTAAGGTGAGAAGAAGCTTGTTGTGTTGTTTTATTCTCATGACAAATGTTTGCCTTATTTAAGAGTAACTCAAAGACAGATTAAGTGCAACCGCTATCTCATCTCTGGTTTTCCCAAACTAACATTATTTATTTTGGGAAACTGTGCCTTAGACAGCAAATTCTTAATTCATACTCCTACTCTAAGACACTTCATGAATATACAGCCTTGGCCTATTTCTTTGCTGACACAAGTCATCATTTTAGTGGCTTACACAGCCATCAGCTTCTGCCAACAAATGTACAGTAAACACGAATGAATTTGCACATTTAAACATGAGCCACCATCATTCAAAACCAACAATCTTTTAAAAAGGAGATAAATTTAAGACCGCCATCCCATTTCTACATCATTGCAGTGCCTTGAATACTGTATAGGCATAAGTTTTGAAGGATTACCCAACTCTTAGTTTAGTAAAGCTTCACACCCATGTCATTAGTCTGCACAGTTTGGAAATATTCAGTAAAGTGAAGTCAGATGGTTAAAGTAAAAAAGCAGCTCATAGATTTATAAGTGGGCATGTTGGCAAGAAGTGAACCTGTATAGCAACTGCTGCTACAGTCCTTTATACCACTACGTTGACTCCTTTCATTGCTATTCCATTTTGTACATTTATACAGTTTTGATACTTGATGGCACTCTTCGGCGATGTCTTGTGTTGTCAATATGTAATATATTTTGGGAGTTCACTTTTCCTATGTATGAGAGAAGGAATGCATCTGGTACTCACAATATACAGAGAGTCTTGCATCCAGGGAATCTAAGCGTAGAATGCTTTTAAATGTGCCACACAATTGTTATGTCATTCAAGAACCTGTGTTTGTGAATATGTACATATTACATAACTTTTGTAAAGAGATCTATTTTTTATGCAGATGAAGAAGCATTTGTAAGTTATTGAATATGTTGTTTAAAATTTCACATGTAAATGTCATGTAAAATGAAAAAGATTTTGTATTTTTTCTTTATGAACAATGTATAAATCGTTAATTTATATATAAAATTTAAGATAATTCACACGTGTTGCTGTTTTCTTTTTTGTCCATTGAGGTTTATTTCTTGTCATTGGGTCCCCAACCTTTTGTCCACTGAGGACTAAAGAATTGGGGAGGTGTGATGTTAAAAGGTAATTTTGGGTGGGTGCATATGCACTTGAGAAGATGGCATAGTTACGTTTGTCTTTTAATAAAACCTTTCATGAAATTAACTTTCTACACATATTTTCATGAATTAGTGCACAGACCTGCACCAACATATCCTGGACCTGGTAAAGGTATGGGCCCCGGTGAATAAGGACCCCTAAATGGAGAACTGTACTAAGCATTTTTTTTTTTTTTTTTTTTTTTTTGTCTTCAGTTTTATTCAAAGAAATATGCATAAAAGTGAAAGAAATATGGCGCACAGCCAGAAGTTTGCTGCAGAGTGATGACATATTATACACCAGCTATTGAATTATGCAGCAATGCATTACAAAGTTTCAACCAAAGAAGAAAGGAAGGATAATAAAGTCTGCAGATCAACTAAAAGCACCTTCAGTAATGATGTATTATATGGGATTTTCTCAAGTTGGAGAAGGAAGTCAGTAAAGATATGTCTAAGAGGCTAACTTAAAGACCTAACAGGGGAAAAAAAAAGAAAAAAAAATGTTGATGTTCGAATGTACCTGAAACTTTGAAGGCTGAATTTAATTGTTCTAGATTTTATTGACATGACTCTTCAATATAAGCTAAATCAGGAACCTTTGCAAGGTATTTGAATTCTTGTACCAGTTTGCTCACCGCCTTCAACAACATTGTGGTTGGAAGGAAAGTTAAATACTGATATGCGATCAGTATTTAAGCTACAGTCAAACGTTTCCATGCATCAACTCAAACGCTGAGAGAAGCGTGAGTCACCGATACAGCTAATTGCTGTGGGTAAACATGTGGAAAAGAGGAGTTATTGATTTAATTTAATAACACTATCCACCACCGCCTTTGAATACTTGTTCAGACAGAAGACAAGTCCCATATAAGGTTTGATTAAAACACCTACTGTGCTAGCCTTCATGGTTTCAGAGGTATAAACTCTCTTCCTTATCCTTACCTTGAAACCAAGATTCCAGTTGTTTGATTATTCTGTGGCAAAGTGTTTTAAACAAAACAATTCAACTTTTTCTACATGGAGGGTCTCTTAGGAATCTGCAAGTGCTCACTTAATCCTTTTATTATGTTGCCAAGATTTGGCTGAACACCTGCTTTCTCACAATCAACACCTGCTGTCCCCTTGATGATAAGGCTGATAAATACACTTGTCTAGCGTTTTCTCTCAATCTTGCTTTCTTCCTACCCTTGAAACCAAGATTCTGCTCAAGTGTAATAACAGTGAACACTGTTTTTGTTGAGTAAGGAAAAACGATACGCCTACTTCACCCTCACAAATCTCACTTTGTACATATAGCAGGATATTTTTTCTGTTTTGCCATAGTGATCTTGCATCTTTTTGTCATAGTCCATTTGAGATGAAAAAACAGTCTAATTCTGTTTAGAGTTATTGTTGATTAGTTTGTGCTGGCTTATCGTAAGTGTCAGTCTATAAACCAATCCTAATTTCCTCCATAGTATAGATTTCTTGTTTTAATGGCCTTTTTCTAAATACACTTATCTGTCTAAGCATTTTTGTTTAATCTTTATTTTTACTTTAGCATTTGTCTGCTTTTCGAAGCAGTAGGAGGGTCCTTGCTTAACTTCTTAAGACTACTCTAAATGTTTGAAAGATACAAAAATTGCCCTTTAGGTTCTAGCAATTAAACTTGAACACTTTATACTTTATACTGTAAATATATACTGTAAATTTTGGGTAAAAGTAGATTAATGGGGCTGTTTACATTTGTTGTCGACCATGTCTTTATGTGGGACATAAAGTGTTGAATGTATTGAAATTATTAATATAGGTCTGGTTTCCAAAGTGATAGGACCCTTTTTTGCCTTCCTACATGTGTTCAGATATGCACAATGTAATGAAAAGCTTGAAAGGAATTGGCATTTCATCACATATTTTATAAAGTTTTTAATATGCCTACCAGTTATTTTGTTTTTGTCCAAATCACCTAGGTATTTTTTCTAAGGATTTATGATGCTAACTATTGAATTGCTGCAAAAAGATTTGAAAAGGTGTGATTATCAGAAGAAAAATTTCTCAGACTTAATAAAAGAAAAGTCCGGTCAGCAAAGAATAATCAATGGATCATTATCTATACCTAAAACTAATACGTTTGCAGTGATTTTATGAATTCAGCATTAATCAGTAAAAAAATCTAAATATTAATTTTTGTAGTGATCACTGAGTCTGGGAGCGACCATTTTTGCCCAAATATAGTAACACCTCGCTTCTGACATCTTTTGGCAGTGACGTCACAATGCAGTAAGCCTAGAGCCATTTTCCCCACTTTACAAGCAAATTGGGAATGGGAACTACTGAACACATCTGCAATCAACAGTATAAAGTGTTCAAGTTGAATTGCTAGAACCTAAAGGGCACTTTTTCTATCTTTCAAACATTTAGAGTAGTTTTAAGAAGTTAAGCAAGGACTGTCCTACCGCTTCGAAAAGCAGATAAATACTAAAATTATGGGCAATCAACAACAATTATTTAAGATTTTGAGTGGACCTCACCATTGAAATTCACAAGAGCTGTAGTTAAAGTAACAACGCCCACGTGCATTGCAGTTGTATGTTGCAATACATCGGCTTAAAGTGGAAAAAACATTAGTTATTTCAACTGTCCGATTCACGGACGGGTTTGTTGTTGGACTGCCAACTTGAAAATTGAGGATTTGCCATCGAACTGCTGGCCAGAGAGAAAACACAAATGTTGCCAACATTTCGAAGAAGAATGTTTTCAAGAAGACTTGGATAATAGCGCGTTGTGACAAATAACCGGATACAGCACTGGGACTTGATCAGCAGCCTATATCGCACCGTGACGTCACAAACTGGTAGGTGGGAGTAGTGTTCTTTGACAAACATGGATTTCTCCACTATAGCACTTTCAAATGAAAGTTACTCTTAATTAAAACTCTTATCATTTATTGAACAGTTTGTAATAATTTTATATTTAAAGTACTTTCAGAAGTTTGAATTCTGAATATGACCAGACTTTTTCTTTCATATGTATTTTTGACTCATAGAATAGAGAAAATTGAAGTAACTTTGTGAAAAACAATGGCATAGTTCAACCAAAGCAGGATCATGTTAGAGGTCAGGGACAAATTGAACCTGATCGTCGTAATCACAGTGCACACAGTTTGTAAGGAAGTGTGACAGAATGAACAGAACAAAGCATGAAAGAGTCAAACGTATGACTGGCAGAAAGTGGTTTGACTTGGGGCTCAGGTTAAGCACATGCTTTAATGTCTAAGCTTGGGATTTGTGTGCGTATTACTAATATTTGCCTGAAGGATTTTCAATTGAAATGACTTTGAAGCTTCACCAGGCAGATTTCACCAAAAGGATGAGGGTATGAAGTTAGCTGGGCGCAGGTGGAGATGTCAGAAAGCTCAGGGTGTTTCCTGCCTCTGAGTGTCCACTCACTGTAATACAACACAGACTTGACCTGTGTTTGTTCCTCGAACATCGCACTGCTACATCGACACTTTGGTTTCTGTGTCAGGGAATTCTCCGTGGAGCTCCTCTGGTGCTCAGTGAGGGGTTCATACAACATTTTCTGTACCGTGTCATCCCTGCAAACACTCTGTTCAGATTTGGTGACTGAGCAGGATAACCTGATTACTGTGGCCTTTCAATGCCGACACTAGAGGCATTGTGGCAAAGGCATGTGTCTGGTAGAGAATATTAGAGTGGTCCGTGCATGTGTTGGATTATTAATGTTTGCTTTTATTTTTATTTGCATGTGTTAAAGTATTAATTTTTTTTCTTTTATTTAAAACAAATCAAACAAAAATCTAATTTTCTTGTGAAATTATTAACATTGATTAATTTGAATCGTTTTATGTTGGTCACCAAGTTGTTGGGTATATAGCCTCTTTAACCAACCTGTGTGCTGGCGCCTTGTTCTTTGTATTTCCAATTAACACAACAAAAATAGTTGAGAGTGAAGAGGATATAGGTATACAAAAACACTGAAGTTAGTGGTTTTCATGAGTTTATACAGAATGTAAGACATCTTTCCAGTTAGCCTGCTATTTCTCAATAAAGCCAGCTCACGTGCAGATTGTAGCTTCTGAAGCTTTTTTTTTTTTAACTTTCTTTCATGAAGATGATGGTTGGAGCTGCTTTAGTTTCCACAATATGTCTTCCTGTGATGTTGTCACATAAATATTTCCAAACATTTAAATGTGACTTTCTTGTAAGTGAGGGCAAAATGAAGTAGCCTTCACTAAGCCAGCTGACCAGCAGTCCACAGTGGCATCTAGGGGAGGGGGAACAGAGAAAAATCCTATTGTTTTGACACTTTACCAGATATCTTATTATCTAGACTTTACACAATAGAAATGTAATACCTACATTTTTAAAACATTGCTTTAGTAGCTGGACAATAGCTGGACCATGGCTTCAGCTTAATAAAAGTGTGTGCTTTTGGTGTTCTGCGGTTTATTTCTTCACTTTCATACAAAATGTTGACACATAGAATAAAGTAATCCCACCTAATGCCACCAGTTCACCATTTAAATATACATTATAAACAAGTCTAGTTCTTATTTCTGGTCCAAACATTAAAACTTCCTAGTATGACTGAGGGATGATGACAAACTCCTCCAGCAGGCTTTCTGTGTCTCATACCATCTTGTGTTTACAGTGAGAGGCACAAGTTAGTCAAGTTGTTGGTTTTCCTCCCCTGCGCACGTCAAAGCGTAATGACTTGTGTTTGCTTTCATGGATCTTTTGCTTCTAATGTGCTGGACTGTCAGTTGAGTAACTAGCCGCTTTTTCGGTGTGTATTTCAGTCCTCCACTAATGA